AGTTATACCCTTCCTAAAGATGAAAGTGTATAATTATATCATACCCTTCCTAACTATGTTTATTCTTCGTTTTTCATGTTCTGAGTAGTAAATATGTGATCTTCTGACTGAAGGTGTCCAGTTCCAGTCCATCTCAATTTGCTGATGCCTAAGATGTCAGTGTGTAGTCAATTCATTTCATCTTTCACTATGTTGAGCTTTCCTACAGGAAAGCTTACATAGTGAGCTTGGAGTCTTACATTCCAAGTTCCCACTTTAATTCTGTCTCTTCAGCTTCAGATTACATTTTCCTGCATGGCAACACCAGCCATTACACATCCTGAAGCCTTTAATCTAACCATGTCATAAATACTATTAGTATTCTAAAAGGTCCTCAGCTTTTCCTCAGTCATATCTTCAGTACCAAGTAACCTGAAGGCCTCATCATCTGGCACTATATTGTCAATCATTTTATATTTTCTATCCATGTGGTTTTCTTGGTAAAATACAGCAGTAGTTTATTATAACCTTCTCCTGCACAGAATGAAATGTTGCCTTTGCTTTGTCCTAAAGCGATCATTCACCTCCAGCATCTTCCTATATCACTGCTGCCCAATAGAGGTGCCTGCTTGCTTTAGCTGAGAAGCTGGGATGACCTTCACACCCTGGAAAACCCTGCTGGGAATATATATTCTTGGCATATACTGTACTCCCAGAAATTTTGCTCATCCCTTCCAGGAATATCACCACCACCAGCATGATGAGGCAGCTGTATAGAGTAAGGGAAGGTGACCTTGATGGGGACATGCAGAAACCTTACCTAGGCAAAAGGGTTGAAGCATTTTTTAGGTCCAGAACTCAGAACTATGAGATAACATTCAGAAGCAGCTCAGGCAAATGTCTCCCTAATATCCTGAACTATATGTAGAAGGAGATACAGCAGAATCAGACTTGCAAGATTCTGTTATTGTAGCCAATCTCAATAAAAGTAGTTTTAGTTTTCCTGTGGAGTTGATTTCCTGGCCTGGTCTAGCTAGTGGGGCTGACAGCAGCGCAGCAGGACTTAGTGGGGAGAAGGGGAGACATGTCCCTGCAGTTTTCTTGACAACATTTTTGAAAATGGTTTGTCACTGTCTTTTTCCTTGGACTGAGTGGGAGTGACTCACCCAAAGTCACCCAGCTAGCCTGATGCCTAAAGCAGGACTAGAATTCACAGTCTCCCAATTTCTAGCCTGGTGCCTTTAACCGCTACATCAGACAGGCTGCCCCACTGACTACAGAGGAAGCAAATGGATTATTTTTTGCACAAGTCCCTGAGATTGCTTAAACCAAAGCTCTTTCAATTATTTATTTAATTTATTTAAGTTGGTGAAATCTTTCATCAAGTTGGTTTCACCTCCTGATGAATCCATTGGCATTGGCTTAATATCTCAGTCTGTTTCCAGGAATAACATGTCGTTCTTCCAAACACAGTCCAATCAATCCGCTTCATCCACTGAAATTTTCTTGTTCTACTTTTTTCAACCTTTCCAGGTTTAGTCGTTTTTTTCAAGTCCATCATCACATACCTAAAGTATGTGACTTTGATTTAAAGCATGCTTCATATTCAACTTTTCCAACTTTGTCTCCTTCGGATATGTTGACTACAATTTCCAAAATTCCTAAACAAGACAGATTCTATATCAAGTTTCCAACTTTCTAATAAATCTATTTCTCCATCAAACATGCATATTAATAGATTACTGTAAGCATATTTTCCAGAAAAAGCAGTACTAGTTACTAATGGCTATTTGAGGTTTAGAAATACTCTTATCTTCTGAAGTAAGATAAGGAAATAGACATGATAGTTTGTTTATTGCCTTAAACATAATACAATACCTAACAGCAG